TAGGGCCGGGATTCTCTTCCACATTTCCACTAAGCAGTAACTTGGTGCGGATGATACTGCTGATGGCGCGGCAACACGCGCCCCAAGAACGACAAGGATAACACTGTGTCCCAGCGAGGCGCGGCTGGCCCCAGTACTTCGTGATGCCGTAAGCCTGGCACGGCAAAGTTCTCCAGGTGGCGAACGTTGCTGGCGCCTGGCTTTCCCTTTCCGTGCGGGCCGCTTGGCCTTGGTGCCGCGACGGGGCGGCCGGCGCCACCAAGGTTTCGAATCCTTAAACGCGAGTTTTCCCTCCGGCCAGGCCCAAGAAAGTTCGGAATAAAGTGCCAAAAATAAACATAATCCAAAAGAAAACAACAAATTGCATAACAAAAAAAAAAGTAACCCCTTTCCATATAGAAGTTGGGCGGCGATCAGCGTGCTCTACGGTAGTGGCTGATGGGGCAGGGGCATCGACGCAAGTCGAGAAGAGACAAGGCGAAAAACAAAACAAAGAACACAACGGTTGGAAATTAAACGGCTGCCGCGAAAGAAAAAAAATAAGTTCATGAATGGTTTTTATGTTGTTTAATCAGGAGCCTCGGAGGGTTGCTTTGAGTGCAAAAGACAATTCAAAGGCTGCGGGAAACCATGTGTCCCCGTGCGGCCGCCGTAAAGGACATGCGGGTGGGGTCGTGGTTTTGAGTGCTAAGCGGGGGGTGCGAAGGTATCCCTTTGCCAGCATCATTGCCTTCTGAAGCTTGTGCGTTGGCGGCTGCCACGCATTAATCGGAACATGTTGCTCCCCCTAAGATCGAACAGAGAACGAACAGAAGTTACCTCCGGGAAAAAAAAGCATTAACTTTCTCCGTATTGGATGCCGCCAAACTCCCGAAGGCAAATGGGGTGCTTCATTAATTAGGGACACGGACGAGGCGCTATCAACAAGATGTGGGCTGAAACAACTGTTTCACATGGTTGCGCCGGTGGGAACTTGAGCAGTTTATTTTGCACTCTGGGCATTTTGGGTGCCTTTTGGTGGGCTTCTCCGCATCAGCATCGACAGCTCGGATTTTTATGAGTGCCGCGATCGGCGGAATAATAATAATAAAAAAAAAACAACGCAGTCAGAAGCTCCAAAGGGGCAAAGCGAAAGCAATGAACAAGGCTTGGCGGGGAAGTGGGGCATGAACAGCGCGACGGCACGGGATTTCAGAGAACAACTCCGCGGATGGGGTTTCAATAATCCGGGCAATTAAGAGCGATGATGTGGTGAACGGGAGCCCAAAGAGGCGAATTCAACATCTTTTTTGGCATCTCCTTTTGCGTTAGTACACTATTCCACCTTGGGGTCTGTTGGGATGAAGTGTCCGAACTCGGATAGCATGAGATTGAAATGAATGAGAATGATAAAGAGTGCACTACTAGTGTTTGGATGGTTATTATTTAAATCAATCCGTATAGTTATACCATTTTTATTATTATTATTATTTAAATGCCCCAACGCCCTTCCCATGACATTTTAGACGCTGGCCTGGGGAGATTCCTTCTTTCTCTGTCCTCTTTGCCTGTGGGTTTCCTTCATTGTTTTTATTTTTAGTTTTTATTATTATTTTATTTTGCCTTCGTATACATTTGGGTGGTGCCCCACTCTTCCTCTTTGCCCCGCAGCGTTCTTGTGAGAGGCATCATGGGGTGGGTGTGAGGTATGCTGGGAGTGGCAGAACACTCTTGGTGCTGTCGCGTGTTTTCTCATGCTCGTTTTGTTGATCTTGTCCTTGGTGATGCTGGTTTTTCAATGCCTTCTCCTCTCGAACTCTCCTGTTCTCTCCAGTTTAAATAGCCACATACATACACAAATACGCAGAGGTGACGCAGCGGAATAGGTTCGCTATCCGCCGAGGGAGATACGCATAAGCTCCTGCCGCCTGCTGAGCTGACCCGTGTTACCGACTGCGGGAAGTCAACACAACAAGAGGGTGGTGGATTTGTGTTTTTTTTCTTTGCCGGCCTTCCTTTGCCACGGTGAAGATCGTTATTCTGTGTTATCATCTGTTGCGTGAACCTTAGTTTCCTCCGGTGTTCTTGTTGGTTGCGTTCCAAGGCATGTCGTCCAACATCATTGACCACAGCTTCTTCTTCACGCCGCTGGAGCGCGACTTCATTGCTCACGCGGAAACATCAGTTGAGACGCGCCCCGGGAGTTTTGTGACATTTATGTTTCACCCGCTATGGTTGTGGCTGAGCCGCCACCTTGTGCCAGAGATGGTGGCGCCAAATGCTATTACTCTGGCAGGACTTGTTAGCTCTATGCAGTCGTACCAGATCATCAGTGCGCACTACAACAATGACACAAGTGATTCAACGGACTTCAAGACACACGTCCCCATTTTGCTTTCGTGTTTACTGTGTATTGTGACGGTTGTGTGTGGCTCGTTAGATGGGGTTCATGCAAAGAGGTGCCGTTCAGCAACTCCGCTCGGTGATATTTTTTCGCGTGTGTGCAGCAGTATCTCCCGCATATTCTTCGCCCTCACTCTAATGGGGGCGTTTGGCGTGGGAAATCTCCGCACACAATGGTACTTGCTCATGACGCTGCAACTAGTCGAGTTCAATACAGTGCTTGGTCGTATTAATGCAGAAAACCTCAAACCCCAAAAGGCGAAGAACCTCGCATATCACCTCACGTACTGTTTTCGTGACTCGGAGCTCTCCTTCCTGATCCTGTGTGCTTTGATCACGCGGCTCGTCTCCCCCGCGCAAGAATTCTACCTCCTCTTTAGCCCAGACTTTGCAAAGAAGAGTTTCTTGGCATTGGTATTTCTGAGCTTCGTCAATGTTTGGATATTAAAGATGAATCCGAAATACAAAACAAACATTGCCCTCTGTCTTGCCGCTCGCATGGTGCCACTATTCAAGATTCTATCCTTTAACAACTACAGTATTCTCAGTGTCATCAGCGGTGCACTGGTGGTTGCACTTCTTTCGATAGAGGTTTACGTGAGTAACGTTGCCAGCCGCCGAGTGCATGCAGCAGTTGTTTGTATCTGCATAGGGTCTGTGTTTAACGATATTTTTTCTATCGTTGCCTCCATTCTGTATATTATTGGTATGTTGGTGGACCTGTCGTACTCTACCCGCATCCCGCTATTCGTTCCGGTGAAAAACGTTTTCTGCGACGGCGTTTTTGACCTGTGTCACGCGGGGCACAAGAACTTCATGCAGAATGCGCTGATACACGGCAACCGTCTGATTGTCGGTGTCTGCGGGGATGAGGAGTGTGAGGCATACAAGCGGCGTCCTATCATGACGACCGCCGAGCGCGTCAACGAAGTGCGCATGTGCAAATTCGTTTCGCAGGTGATCCCCAACAGCCCTGTGTCGGGAGTCACGGAGGAGATGATCAAGCGGCACAACATCCATGTCGTCGTGTGCGGCAACGAGTATGACCGGCCGGATGACACATTCTACGCGGTGCCGCGCCGCCTCGGCATCTTACGCACCGCCCCGCGCACGGAGGGCATCTCCACCAGCGTCCTCATCGCTCGCATCCGCCGTGCCACGGAAATGGACGTGGCGGCGAAGGATAAGGCAGCGGGGCGCTCGACGGTGAAGGACGGAGAGTGACGCCCCGGCCGTGCGGCGGGCAGGCAGGGCGAGAGGGAGGCGAGACCACCAGGGCACACTAAATGACTGAAGACGAGAAAACCGGTATGTGAGGCGAACGACAAGCAACCCACAAACACACAAAAAAAGATGAAGATAAAAAATAGCAAAGAATAAATGTACTTTCTTTCTCCTTCCTTACCAGACATTGGTCGTGGAAAAGCTTCGAATGCCGCACCTAGTAATCTTAGGCGGACCTGTGTCCGGTGGGTAATCAAGCTGTTCTTTCTTCGTGGTTGTACGCTTCCGCGTGCTTGCTGGAATCTGTTTTACGCAAGCAATTGCTTGTGGAGTGTTGGCTGCACTTTTCGCACAATGTCTGTTTCATCTTTTGTTGTTGTTGTTGTTTTTTTCGTTTTGTTTGCACGTTAATTTTATTTTAATTTCCATGGGCCAGAAAAAGGGAGTCTTCAGGACACAGAGTGAATAGTTTCATCATTGGGGCGTACATAGCAGGTGAGAGCGGCACTTCCCTATACTGTCGAAAATAGAGTAAGCTGAAGGAAGGCAAAATCTTCTTTGAACATATTGGCAACACAGCGTCCCTTCTTGGTATTATTGATCCAGTACCCCATTTTACTAGCGCTACTGGACAAGTGTATATTGTCGCGATCACTAAACATAAAGAGTTCGAAAGATCACAAATTCTCTGCGTTGCAACAAATCATCGGAAGCACAGAGGTTACGTTAGGAGACGGAGAAAAGGAGACAGTTTAAAGAAGGAAAGACAGAAAGGAAAAAAAAAGAAAAGAAAAAAAGAGAAACAACTAAGCAGAAAAAAAGAAGTTTAAAGCGGTTGCCGAGAAAGTGAAATATTAAGGCAAATACAAGTATGTGCACCCCTAATGGTAGTGGGTTTCATGGCGACGCAATGTACCAGGCCCATTTTGGCGATCGGGGTATTGGTGATGGTTGCGCTGGTGGTGGGGGCGGGGCGCAGTCGCGTTTTTTTGGTCAGGCAGCATCTTCGCCGACAGGCGCCATGACGGGGAGCGCCTCCAATTTCTCACAGTGTGTTTACATGGTGTGTGCCAACGGGATGCCCTCACCGATGAGTTTCGCGCCACAGAACGCCGTTCCAGTTGGTGTTCCTGTGCAGCCGGCACCCTGTAGCCCCACAAGCGCGGCAGTGAACACACTGCCCCAGCAGCCCCAGCAGCAGACAGCGTTCATGGTGAACCTGGTAGATGGGCAATCTGTTCCTTGTGTGCCGGTCCAGCAGGTGCTGTTGGCAACGCCTGGCCCCATGCCTCCTTCCCCAATGCTCACGGGTGGCGGCGGCGGTTTCCAAAGGGTACGAAGCAGCTGTAGCGTGAATCTCCAGAGCGAAGGAGGTCCTGGGGACTCTAAAGAGGGTAGTTTGTCTCCGTTACCTCCAGGACAGATGAATGGCAAACAGATAAAAATCACTTCGCCAACTCTCCCTTCAGTTGTGTCACCGACCGGATTGCATTCCATGCAGATGTCGTCATTTGCCCATCACTTCTCCTTGTCCCAAATGACACAAGGTGGAGGCAGCCGTCTGTCAGATGAGGTTTCCAGTAGCAGAAACAACAACAACGGTGGTGCTGGGGGCGAGCCTCGCGTCGACGTTTACGCTCCTGATTTTACCTCTGTGATTTCTCTGCCGGCTTCTGCGATTGTACATCAGCCTCCCCCTTCATTAGGTGTGTCGCGGTTGGTTCTCTGTCGTAAGTATATACCTGGCCGCCCAGATAGCTGCTGGAAGGGGGACATGTGCAAGTTTGTGCACGCCGACCCTTCAGGAGCACCACGCTCCCAAATTCATGTAAATTACGTTTGGCGAAGCGTTGAGCGATGTACGTACCCTCACCTCCCTCCTGGGGAGAAGATCGTTGTGTTGGCCCCGAACGGGCGACAGCCCGCAGAGACGTTTTCAAGTGAGCGTATTCTTGTTACGCGTGGCAGCCTTAATCGTAAGAGCCATGTGGGCCCGCTTTCTCGTTGCGCGCACTACTACTTCAACCGCCTCTGCAACCGGGGTGAGAATTGTAACTTCATTCATACGTTGCACATTGATCCAAACGTTGAAGTGGACTTTAAGCGCGCCCCAGCTTCTACTTCGATTGCACCGATTAAGAAGCGGGAACCACGCTCAAAAGGGCACGGTTCTGGAGGGAATCATGACCACGAGGCTGGCAACACTCCTGCACAAAACTGCAGTGACACACTGGCGCCACAACAGTCTATGGGTCTTTCCGCGGGTCTTAGCGGAGGTTCTGACCCTACCTCCAGCGGTGTATCGCCCCCGTCTCAGGCCTTCTATCTCGTGGTACCACAAAACGCCACTCGCTCTTTGTCTCGCTCACTTTCTTCAGTAGGGGGTGGCAGCGAGCACAGCATGAGTGGCGCGACAAACCCATTGGAGTGGTCGTTCGTAGACAACTTGGAGGGTTCAGTTTGGTCAGATGGCGATATCACTCCACAGTTGTGATGAACTTTGGTTAATAGCCCCTTCTGTTTCGCGTGTACATAAAGAGAAGGAGGAGCTGAGGAATAATGTGAAGACAAATGGAAAATGATATTGGGAAATGCAGGCTACTTGTATCGCAAAAGGCATCTGAAGGAATGCAATAACGTTGGACGTAATGCTTTGTTTTCTTAGTGTGTGTGGGGAGGTGGAACATGTGAAAGCCATGCGCGACCTACTATATATATATATATATACCGAGACGTGAACAGGAATGAAAAGGCTGAGAAAATCTTTAATGCCCTTTCATTTGGGGGGGGGGGG